AGCTTGGTTAGGAGCGCGGCGGCGGTGCTTGATGTAGGCGAGGAACCTGACAGCGTGATAAAGACCGGCGCGGATAGTGGCGTTCCCGCGCAGAGGAAGATGGTGCGGAGCATACCACGGGAGGTCGACGCGCGGTGATGGTAAAGTGGGCCGTGTGCCACGGCGCTACTGCCCGAAAGGGCGACACAGCGGCGGCGGGCAGGTCAGGGCGACGATGTAAAGACCTCGGGGCGGAGGCGGGGACCGCGGGCCGCGGCGCTACGGCCTGAAGGGGCGGCGCAGCGGCGGAACCCGGGTCGGTGCAACCGCGGGAATGGTATTGGGACGGCGGCGTGGACCGCGTGCCACGCTCCCTACGGCCCGACGGGGCGATGCGCATCGGCGATGCAAGGGTCGGTGCAGCCACGGGCACGACCTAGAGCGAACGGCCTCGGGGTGGCGGTGGACCGCGGACCGCGGCACTACGGCCCGAAGGGGCGATGCAGCAGTGACGCGAGTCGGTCCAGCCGGGAGAAGAACCACGGGGCGGCGCAGCGGCAGCCCGGTGCTCGATCGATAGATGGGTGCACTGAACTCGGGACAGTCTTCACGGGGCCTACAGTCGCGCGCGCAACCGACGGGCCAGGCCGGTCGCTCGGCGTAGATGAGGCGGATCGCTGCATTGGGCGGATGATCAATCCGATCACGCGCGAGGTTGTGGACGCCGCTAGGTGGCGGCGAAGTCCGAGATCGATGGGCGGGCCGGCGCGAACGGCGGCTATGATGGCCCCCTCATGGCGCGAGGCCGCCGGGTGGGGGTGATGCAGGATTCCTGGTCGGAATAGGGCGGCGACAGCCGGCGTAGATCGACGGGCGAGTCGGCGCGTGAACAGCGAATGATGGGCCGCTGCATCGCGGGAGGAAGCCGGATCGGGACGACAGGCGGGCAGACGCGCAGATGAAGGTCGTTATGGGCCGCCAGGTCAGTGAAGAGGCTGGCCGGTCGTGCTGGTGTTGGAGTAGAAGCGCACGGGGATAGACGGCGGCGGCAGGCGACGCAAACCGATTAAGCATAGATCGGAAAACCAAAAAAATACACGCCGATCAAGGTGACTGGTGGGAGAGAGAAAAACCCGAAGCAAGGGCTCGGGCAAAAGACTCTCTAAGGTAGCCGGTCAACACGACCAGCGGACGAACCCTAGGTACGGGCAGCGCGGCCGGTGGCGGTCATGAAGGCCGACCACCCGGGGGCGGCGCGCGGGTGCGGAAGCGGTGGTGGCTAGGGTTTAGGATCGAGGTAAGGCTGATACCATGTTAGAAGGGATAGTGAGGGATTGGTGGAATATGATGGATGTATTACTGAGGCTCGAGGGAGAGTATATATTGAATACAAGACTTGGAGGACAAGAAGCCTCTTCTGAAAATAAGGTAGGAGATGAACTACAAATTCTAGACTACGAAATACAAGTAACCCAAATATATCTTTGAAAGATAGGTCATACCTGGTGCCGTTGTGGGTGCCTCTTCCCTTGCGGATGGGCTGGGTGTCCCTCTCGGAGAAGGTGCAGAAGCTTGATGAGGAGCAAGTGAAGGAACAACCGAATGTCCTATGATCCTTTGTCCTGCCCACCCTCGGGTGCGTTAATTTATTTTAGAAATGGAGGAGGACCCCTGGCCTGTGCATTTAGACCATACATGCGGTCACTTTATTAATTATTCACATAAGACTTTACAAAGAAATACAATAGTAAGACTAAACCCATCGTCTAGGCAACATCTGTCACTACTCCTATCCAGTTGACGAAGGGATGTTGATAGTCTGGGACTAATACCAAACAGACCTTGCAGCCAAACCTAAACATCTAAGACTTGAGGTCCCAACCGGGACGCCTGCCGGATATGAAGCACCTACCAGTCTGTCACACTCCTCAACCAGGACGCCTGCCGGATTTGAGGCCGCCGCAGCCACCTGCCACCAATCCATCTTAGTTGTACTGTTACATCTACCGTGCCATGTCTCTCTGCCATCGACGTCACCACGACGCCAGACAGCGTCATCCTTCTGCACGAGTCCATCCTCGCACATCGAACGTTGAATCTACACTGGCCACGCCATCGAGATCCATCGCCATCAATGTGTAGGATGAAGCACCGCTCCACCAAAGATGCCGTCCGCTGGTCTCGCGAGGCCGAGTGCACCTCCAAGAATGCCGCCCCCAAAGGGGTAACGACACATAATTGCCACCAACATCCGATCAGCTGATCTAGGGTTTTCTCCAGAGGTATTGAGTGGAGTTGGGATCTTCATCTCGATAATGCCTTCACTAAGGAAACGATGATAAGGGCATCGTCATCACCGGCTGCGACAATCGACCGAAGACCAGGTTTTGACCCGGATCTGTCCCAATTAATCCACCCGACAACCTCGGGTGCGTTAATGCAACTGCAAAATACATTAAGGAGCCCAATGCTGTTGAGCTCACGCGCCAACACGACCTTGGTCCGTGATCGGCGACCCATTGTCGGCACCTATGCAGCGCATGCAGCTCGGCTCATAAAAAGATGCACCCATTTGCGCTTACAAAAACCTCTATTATAGATCTCGAGAACGAAGTATCATAGTAGTATTCTCTGTAAGACGGATGTGCTCTATGTCTGCCTGCCTGCTGGTACTAGGATAGTATATCACCACCCTAGTACTTACGCTAGAAACAAGCAAAGATGGAATCAATCAGTACTCGATGCATGTCACGTGGATGGTGCAAAAACAAACCAACCCACGCAGCTGTAGCAGGTAGAGGTGTGCCAAGCTCCTCAATCAGACGATACCTAGCAATAGCATACACACTCGCCCACCCAGTTAGCTAGCTACTCTACAAGCTCCGGCCACCGCTCGAGGACGATCCGAGACGCGGGGATCCAGCTGAAGCAGATCCAAGACCCTCCACGCTCCGGCCGATGACGGTGAGTAACCCTCTATCATCCCTTCTTGCTCCTCTCTCCCCGGCGCAAATGCTCATCACTTCTTGCACTCTCTCCCCTCAGCATCGTCCTTACACTAAAGATGGCTTAACTCGAGTCACACAAGAGAAGAAAATTTCTCCTGCTGAAGGAGATCTGAGCTGAAGGAGAAGACCCTCCTGCTGCCGGTCGGTGCCGGTGCATGCAGCCACAGGAGGCCATATTAACTAATGGCGATGATGATGCTGACTTCGGGACCTAACAATACTCACACATACTCACATCTCTGCAGTCGCAAGAAGCAACACCTAATAATACAAACGCAAATAGTGAAAGATACTCCATCAAGTTGGATCATATTACTCACAGCAGGGAAGGATATTCTAGCACTGGTATGTCACCCCGGAACAATTTCAGAGCATGATCTCGTTGTCAATGGCTTTAAAGTTGAGGTTGTGCACACAGCAGAAACACTCGCCCACCTCGTGGCCCTCAGTCCACACCAGCCACTTGTGCTGGTAGACCGGGTTATACAGCTGAAGTAAACTGGCTGATATAAACACATCATGCCCCCGGTACATCGAAAACAGTTTGTTGCCTGATATAAACACAATGGTACTAAGTTTACTAACTGATTGCCGTGAACATACTGAATTAAATAAACCACATTTTCCAAAACAAATAGAAAGGACAATCAATCCACCACTTGTGTAGTCACCTGCATCAATGCCGCCCGTGTCATCACTGTCAACCTCTGTAGCTCCCTCCTCCTGGATTCTCATTGTCACCTTAATCTTTTGATCTATATACCAGTGAAACCAACAATGGTGAGAGCCATTTTCATGTCAAATAACTGCAAGGAACTGAGAAATTGTGATTTATGTCTACTGTGCGCATTGTGGATCATGATATGTTAGCGAATGATTATTGTGATTTCCTGCAGTCAGAACATCTCTATGACAGCTAATTATTTTACGTGCAGTGCAGCATCTTGTTTATTTACTACTATTTCCACAACGCAAAATTCGGAGCTCTGCCACACATTCAGAATGTTGAGAATGCCATAGGTAGCTGAATGTCCTGTCCTGCGTGCCAGCACAAAATCAAAGAGGAACAAAAGATTGTCCAATAACCAGAAAACGATCACGTCCATAATCATGAAAAAATACCAGGATACACTCTCGTGTCTGTCTGATACAGTAAAGCAATGGGAACTGCATCCCTGACAAAGAGATGTAGTGAGATAAACTAAATCACAGAGACGTTCACAGGGTACTTGCGTTAGTGCCGTGATGCTAAAACCCCGTCTCAAGAAAGCTAGCTGTATTTTATTTATAATTGTGCATATATAATGCAAGTCTGAATAAGCACAACTGTTATACAGCACGAATTTCAGAGGTTTGTCCTACAGATTAGAACACCATACTTCCTGAAGGTCATGTCAGTACAGAGTCACGAACAGAAATAACAACAACACTAGCTTGTCCAATTCTGAAAGGAAACTTCTTGGGAATCTGTTACAGTGTACGTATTATTGTTACAAAGAGTGCTAAGTGAGGTGATGCTGAAAACCGCAGATCAAGCAAGGCATTCCGTTGCAGCAAAAGAAGCTTATTTGCTTTAATAAGCATCTTAATTAGGCTGATGTTTGAGCAAAGGAAGATTCTGTTCAAAAGTACAATATATCGATATCCATTTGTTCTTAAAGCGAAAGCTCCAACCCTCCTCGGGAGCACAAGGCATCCCTTGCCGTGACCCTTCCTGAGATTCTTTCTTTCCAGCATGCCTACATGTACTTTGCTCTGCTCGGTCACCAAGTTGGAAACTCGAAGCAGTACAAAAGCCAAACACAATGCCTTCCTAAGCTTTGCTCTCCTCCTGAAACACAAAGAACAAATACAAAACCAACCACCATCGTTCCTGAATCCTGTTCAGCCACGGCTGCATATATATTCTTCCATCCACTCACCCCTCATCCAACTACATTCGTCCATCCGCTCATCTCTGATCAAACATTTCATCTGTGAGATCAAGCAGAGAGCCAGAGACGAGGTGGAGCAATGGCCGAATCGGCCATTAGTGCCGTGCTTGGCAACGTCAGCACCCTTGCGCTTCAGGAGACCACGCTGCTATGTGGCGCAAGCAGTGAGGTGGAGTTCCTGAAACATGAGCTGAACCGGCTGCAAGGCTTCCTTAGAGACGCCGACAACAAACAGAGGCGGGGAGATGAAGGTGCTGCTATCTTGGTCAGCCAGATCAAGGATGCGGCGTACGAGGCCGACAATGTCATGGAGGCCGCAGAGTACATGCGCAAGAGAAACAGGCTCAAGAAGGGATTCATGGGTGCCATTGCAAGGTATGGTTGCCTACCAAGTGATTTGAGTACCCTTCACAAAGTTGGTGTTGAAATAAAAAGTATAAGAAGGAACATATCTGAGATATTTGAGTATGCAACCCGTTTGAAAATAGTTGATGATTTGGGTCATACTTGCATAGAAAAGGTTGATATTGATGATGAGTTGCCTCAAGATTATGGTCCTATTCACCAAAATTTTGAAGATATTGTTATGGTTGGTTTCGAGAATGAATACAAAGAAATAGTGGGGAAGTTAGTTGACACAGAGAAGAGTCTTAGTGCCATCTCCATAGTTGCTATGGGTGGTGCGGGGAAAACAACACTTGCTAGAAGAGTCTACACTTCTCCTGGAGTGAAACGACATTTTGAGGCAGTTTGTTGGGTGACTGTATCTCAAAAGTTTAAAGGCATTGATTTACTAAATGATATTATGAAACAAATAACTGGGAGTACACATAGGCCAGAAGATCAAATGCAAGAGCATGAGGTGGGAAAGAAGATCCATGATTTTCTATTGCAAAAGAGATACTTAGTAGTTCTCGATGATGTGTGGGAAACAGATACATGGGAGCAATTAAACAGAAAGGTTAAAGCATTTCCAGATGCAACTAATGGTAGTAGAGTACTGTTAACCACACGAAAGGAAGATGTTGCAAATCATGTTCCAATGCCAACCAATGTTCATCCTTTGAAGAAGTTAGATGAAGAGAAAAGCTGGGAACTTTTCAGTAGCAAAGCTCTACCATCATACAAAAGGTCTGCAATACGAAATGTGGATGAGTTTGAAAAACTTGGGAAAAGGCTTGCAAAGAAATGTGATGGATTACCACTTGCACTTGCAGTTTTGGGGGGTTATCTATCAAAAAATCTGAATGCACAAATATGGTCTGATATACTCTCTGATTGGCCATCAACGAAGAATGGACAGATGATGCGGGACATACTGGCTCGCAGTTACAAGGACCTGCCAAATCATTATTTAAGAACTTGTTTTCTCTATCTTGCTGCTTTTCCCAAGGATTATGAAATAAATGTGGCGTATCTTATTGAATTGTGGATAGCAGAAAGTTTCATTCCGCATACACCAAACCATACACTAGAAGAAACAGCACAGAGATATGTAACCGAGTTGGCTCAGAGAAGCTTGGTCCAAGTTGTTGACAGAAGTAGGGCACATGGATGGATAGAGGGAATAAGAATTCAGGATATCTTACACGACTGGTGCATAGAAGAGGCAAGACAAGATGGTTTTCTTGATGCCATGGACAAAACTGATTGGTTCCATTTTCTAGTCTCCTAGTCTCTTATTATTAATTGATTCCATTTTCTAATTTACTATATGTCCTTGTATGAGGCTAGCTTTTTCTCCGACAAGTAACGCACTCTAAAAAAATTGCAGGCCAAGCTGGTGCATCATCATCGTCTGATAACTTGATGTCTTATCGTTTTAGTTATCAAACTTTGAATGATCAGATTTTACCTGCAACGCCTAATGCCCGAAGTCTGCTTGGCTTTAAACTCTCATCAGTGTCCCTTCCTAAGCTGAGATTCCTGAGAGTTCTTTGCGTTGAAAATTCAGCACTAAAAGATTTCTCCAGCTTAATTGGTGGGTGCATTCACCTAAGATTGCTTAGGTTGAGAAATTGTGAAGGTGTGGCGCTCCCTTCTTCAATTGGAAAACTCCTTTACTTGCAGACTATTGAACTATGGAACAGGCCATTGGACACACAAGTACCAAACTCTCTCTGGGACATCCCTACTCTAAGGCATGTTTACCTTCGCAACGGGTTTTCTCCACCACCACCTGCAAGGAGTGTGCGGCTGCAGACGAAAGAGCTACAGAGCTTTGTGTTGCATCTTCATCCTGTTGTCACTGATTTCCGCTGTCATGACATGATGATTTTCTTGGGCCAGATGAATCAACTAACAACCTTCTCCTTGTCGATGCACCCCAATATACCAGCGGAGGTGCTCAACATATTTGCAAACATGCCTCACCTGGTTGATATTAGTCTCCACCAATTTGATGTGCTCGATAAGATGCCTGCTGAGTTCCCACAAAGCGTACGTCGTCTTGTTCTAGTTGCTCATGTCATAAAAGAAGACCCGATGCCGGTCCTGGAGAAGCTTCCCCGTCTGGTGGTGTTGGAGTTAAGTGGGTACAAAGGCCTGACCATGTGCTGCTCTTCCCAAGGGTTCCCTCGGCTGCAAAAGTTACGGCTTGGTTCGTTTTCCATTCAGGAGTGGAGGATGGAGGAAGGGACAATGCCAAAGCTCTTCCACCTGACACTTTGGGATTGCGAGAAGATGGGAAAGCTCCCCGTGGGGTTGCTGCACCTTCCATCCCTCGGTCGGCTGGAGCTGATTTATATGCCCCAGATTTCTGAAGACGACATCACACTAAAGGAGCTGCAGCAGAAAGGATGCGAGGTACACATACTTATACGCAGCTTAAGCATAGTTAATTAATTTGCCACACCTTTCATTTTCATTGCTGTCTATACGTGTGCTTGTCTTATGAGTGCTTTCTTTTTTGCGCAGGTGGAAACTAGGGGGTGATCGCAGATCTGTGGGACGCCAGGAATTCATCTTCATTCTCGTCTAAAATCTGGCGCCCTCCTCGCTCCCCACACCACAATCCTCAATTGTCCCCTTCCAGATTCATTCTCGAACCCATCTCCCTCCTCGCAATCCTCATGATACCCCACTTTCCTTCTCCTCCCTCCCTTGAAGGACGCCATAGGCGATTGACATGACAGCCTCTCTCCTCCAATGGCCCCTCGCTCCTCCTGCTTCTCCTTCTAGAATCTAAATCCGCTCTCTTGTACATGGCCGACGGCATGGCAGGAGGAGCTTCATCCCCGGTGCCCAGGTCGCTCCACCACACGTCAGGAGACGGTCATCAATCGATAAATTTGTATATGTAATGATCAATTTGTACTATTTTATAACAAACAAAAAGACTGTTCTGTTAGCGTACTTTTTTTTTTTGGAACGAAGACGCTAGAGGCGTCCGGCTTTAAATTAATAAAGCCCATAGGCCAGAAGAATGTTCTGTTAGCGGACTCATGATGTCACCCGTAAACTCTTGGTATATCCTTTTCGGTGGGATCTCAATATTATTAACGACAAATGTGTACAATCTAATATGATGTCCTAGTATACAGAACTTCCAACTTTTTAGATTTATTGCACCGAGGGTTTGAAGATCGAGGTTGGGACCATGCCAAAGCTCTCCCACCTAAAACTCAACTTGATCCTCTCCAAAAAAACAAAAACTACTTATGTGATGTGTGTCTGCCTAAATTAGGCTTCGAAAGGAAGAGCTTTTTACAGATTCAAACATACGTTTACGATACTCTCTGTTGTAATGGTAGTTACTCAAAACAGAGTTTCTACACTCAGATGTTGCATTAGTTTTTACCTCATAAACTGGAGAGGGACGGGAAGATATTTGCAAGAGAGTGAAATAATACTATGAAGAGGTAGCTTCATGGCAGTTGCTTATGCAAAACGAACAGAAGATATCACCAGCTCGCCAGCATAACTAACCTGACTCATTTATGCAGTGCTTGCCTGAAGAATGCTTACAATCCGACATCTGCAGTCAAATGCAACACTGATGGATTAGCTGAACCATGTAATGATTTGCTGCATTAGGAACATGTTCTACGACAGCCAATTAATTTAAGAGAAGCAGGATGGATCGGCTAATGTCCTACAAAGTGTTGTCTGAACCCTACGTGTTAATATAGTTGGATTAAGTATTTTAGATGATTTGAACTGTGGCTTGGCTTGCACGTTCAAAGACTATGTTATTTGGCTGGCTTGCACGTTCACGTTCACGGACTGTGTTATTTGGCTGGCTTGCACGTTCACGTTCACGGACTGTCTACGTTGCAGATTTTTCCTTTCTATTCCACCTTTGTTTAGTTTCTATAGTTACCTGAGAAATAATGTAGATTTGGTTGCACATACTGTACGCGGGGAGCATTTGATATGTATGAAGAGGCTCCATGGCTTTTCCTTCTGCACACCAGAAGATCATTACCAGTGTTCATGCTTGCTTCAGCCTGATCAATTTACCTGTGCTCATACCGCTTCATGGCATCCGCATCGGAAATAAATATACCATAACTGGATCACAAGTTCACAACGGGCCTCTAGAAAAGGAGCAAGGTTTTCGAAAAAATATAGCAAGTGTGAGCATAAGATGGAACCATTTTCAACAGCTGCATTGAGTTTGCGCAGCATCGCATTTTAAGTTTTCCGCTATTTACTTGTTTCACTGTAAGTGCCTGCATAAGAGTCTACCATTGTAGATGTCATTATACGGTTTTCTCTGGGTTTTTTCTTTTCCCCCTATTCTTTTGTTTTTGCTTGGCTTTCTTATTTCTTCTCCATTTTTTTGTTTTCAATGGTTTCTTTCATGGTTTTTATCGGGTTTTTTCTTATTCATTTTCCTTCTTTTATTTTTCGTTTTTTCTTTCTTGCTTTCCAATGTTTTTTTTTTCATGTTTTTCATTCTTTCTGCATTTGTTTCATCTATTTTATTTTTCATTTTCTTTTTCCCTTTGTTTATTATGAATTTACTCAGGTTTTCATTTTGGTTGTATTTGTTCGTTTGGTTATTTTCTTCATTGTTTTATATGTCGATAACATTTTTCTAATACATGTCTAACACTTTTCCAATACAAATTTAACATTTTGTAATACATGGTCAACATTTTTTCTATACACATTTTTAACAATTCTAATTACAAAATTAAAAAATTTCAAGTAAAAGATTATCATTTCTTAATACAAGATTAACTTTTTTACTTAATGGTCATAATTTTTATAAACCTGTTAAAAAAATTCAAATGCTCGATTAACATTTTCCAAATGCTAATAATTTTTAGTATATCATCAACTTTTTTATGCACATTTAACATTTTATCAAATGTATAATTAACATTTATGAAATCCAATATTAACATATTTTTGCACACATGGTCAACATTTTTTCTAAACACATTTCCCATTTTTAAATCCTTGATTAACATTTTTGATATACTAATTCAACAGTTTTTCAAATGCTTGATTAACATTTAAATATACATGATCAAAATTTTCCTTCATTTTTTTAGTAAAATGTCATCATTTTTAAATACACGTTTAATATTTTCCAAACGCTTTATTAACATTTTTAAGATACTTGTACGACATTTTTTCAAATACTTGAATAGCATTTTTCTAAACATGATTAGAAAAATTCAACATTTTTAAAACATTGTCATCATTTTTTTGTACGCATTTTAACATTTCCAAATGCTTGATTAACATTTTTCAAATGCTTTATTAATATTTTTTTAAATACATGATAAGAAAAATCATCTTTTACTAAATGATCAACATTTTCTCTATACACATTTTAGATTTTTGAAATGCTTGATTAATATTTTTCAAATACTTGTAAAATGATTTTGAATTACTTGATTAACATTTTTTTAAGAAATGATATATTTTTTGTAAATTTTTGTATACGTGATAACCATTTTTTTTAAACATTTAACATTTTTCAAATGATTCGCCAATATTATTCAAATGTTTCTTATAGAATTGTTTGCAATATATATTTTTAGAATGTTTATAATACAAACAGGAAAAATAAAGCAAAAAAAAATAGAAACCTAAAAAAAAAGGAGGCTGAAGCGTCCCACGTGCTTGGCCAGCCCATCTGGATCTGCCCCCACGCGAGGCGTCCCTCTGTCTCGCTTGTAGCGAGACATAGGGCTGAAAATTCAGAAAGGCGCGACTATGTCGTGCGTCACGCAAGAAAGAGCCTGGTCTCGCCTGACGGAGGATGACCGGCCCGGTGCACGGGAGGACACTGCCTCGTTTTCCCTTTTTTTTCCAGGTTTTTGCTTTCAATTTTCTATTTTTTTTACTTTTGTTTACACTTCCAAATATTGTAAACATATATATTACAAAAATAATGTTTATATAATGTTTTGAAAAATGTTAATCATGCAATTAGAAAATGTGAACTATTTATAGGAAAATGTTGACCATGTATACGGAAAATGTATAAAACAATATATAATGTGTGTGAATAAATTTGATCCTGTATTTGAAAAATGTTAACCAAGCAATTTAGAAAATGTTAAAAAATTACTAAAAAATGTTAAATGTCTAAATAAAAAATGTTGACAATGTATTAACAAATTTTAATCTTGTACTTGAAAGTGTTAATTAGGTATTTAAAAAATGGTAAATGGATATAGAAAAAGTGTTGACCATTTAATTTAAAAATGTGGATTTTGTATTTAAAAAAATTTAAATAAGCATTTGAATTTTTTTTAAACATGTATACAGAAAATGGGACCAGATATTCAACAAATGTTGATCTTGTAGTTGAAAAATGTTAAACAAGTATTAAAAAATGTATTAGATATATACCAAAAATGCGATGGGTTACCACTTGCACTTGCACATTTAGGAAGTTATCTATCAAAACATTTAAATGCACGAGAATGGTCGGATATACTCTTGGATTGGACATCGACCAGAAATGAGCAGATGGTGTGAAACATAGTAGCTCGGAGTTACAAGGACCTGCCAAATCATTATTTGAGGTCATGTTTCCTCTATATTGACTCTTATCCCAAGGATTACATAATAGATGTGCCAAGACTTATAGAATTATGGATTGCAGAAGGCTTCATTCCTCACATACCAAACCATAAGCTAGAAGAAACAACACGTAAGTATGTAGCCGAGTTGGCCCGGAGAAGCTTGGTAGAAGTTGTTGAAAGAAGCCGGGCACATGGATGTATTGAGATTATAAAGATTCATGATATCTTGCATGACTGGTGTGCAGAGGCAAGATGGTTTTGTTGATGTGAAGAACGAAACTATGGTCAGGCTTCACCTCCTGCTCTCTTCCTATATAGTTCGATTTTCTATTTTAACATATGTCCTTGTATGTGGCTAGCTTCTTTCTGCCATGTGGAGCACTCTACAAAAAATGCAAGCCAAGTGGGTGAACCATCATCCTCAAATAACTTGGTATCCTATCGCTCCAGTTTCCAGAGTTTGTGTAATGAGATTTTACCTGGGACAACTAATATCCAAACTTTGCTTGGCTTTGAACTTGAATCAGCATCCGCTCCTAAACTGAGGTTCCTGAGAGTTCTTAGCATTGAAAAGTCAGCATTGAAAGATTTCTTTACAGTGATCAGTGGCTGCATTCACCTAAGATATCTTAGGTTGGGAAATTGTGGAGGTGTAGTGCTACCTTCCTCAACAGGCCAGCTCTTATACTTGCAGACTATAGATCTAAGGGACTCGTACCTGGAATCACAAGTACCAAGGTCCCTCTAGGATATCCCTAGTCTAAGGAATGTATACCTTGATGATGGGTTTTCACCACCACCACCTGCAAAGAGTGTCCGACTGCATAACAAAGAGCCCCAGACCTTGTTTTTGTCTATTGCACATGTTGGCACTAAATGGTGCTATCATGACATGGTTATTTTCCTGGTCCAGATGAATCAACTAACAACCTTATTCTTGATGATGTTCACCATGCCCATGGAGGTGTTTAGCCTATTTGCAAACATGCCTCACCTTGTTGATATTACTCTTTGCCAATTCGGTGTGCTTGATAAGTTGCCTCTGTTAAACTGTATGTTGTTACGGATTAGGAGGTTGTTAATATTTGTGTTTATCTCTCTATCTTCTGTAACAACTCATGTAATCTTGCCTTTGCCATATGCCCTAGAGGCAGTATATATAAACGTTCCCCGGCCGCTTGGCTGTGCCAATCCAATATTCTTTCTCTCGTTTCACATGGTAAGAGGCCATCACGCGTAATCGCACGATGGGTTCCCCGACGGCTTCCACTTCCTCATCCGCTGCCCCAACCACTCTTTCCCTGCCCGCCGCCTTCAACGGCCCGCCGACCTCCACCGTCCCTTCCCCTTCTGCTAGTCTCATGCATCACCACAAAGCTCACCACTTCCAACTTCCTCCTATGTCGAGCTCAGGTTCTTCCTCCTCTGCGCATCGCTGGAGCTACGAGCTACATCGATGGCACCCTCCTAGCCCCTGCAAAGCTCCTAGACCCTGATGGCAAGGGGGTGCGCGCTCCAAACCCGGAGTGTGCCAACTGGTACCACCTGGACCAGATCGTCCTCAGCCATCTTCTTGCCTTTCTCTCCAATGAAGTCCTGCAGCAGGTGCATCGATTTGATACTTCTCGCGCCATGGGCCAGAAGTTCTAACAAAATAACCTCTCTCAAGACAGCTGAGATAATCTAGATACAATCAGTTCTTGGTGAACTTGGTGTTTTCATGTCAAGACCACCTGTGTTATGGTGTGACAATTTGGGAGCTACTTATCTATCTGCTAATCCAGTATTTCATGCCAGGACTAAGCATATAGAAGTAGATTTTCACTTTGTTCAAGAAAGAGTTGCAGCCAAGGCGTTGGATGTTCAATTCATCTCTTCTAAAGAACAAGTTGCTGATATATTCACAAAACCACTCTTTCTCTGCAAGAAGCACTACTACTAGTAGCTGCTCAGTAGTGCGGGTAAACCAACGCTACTGCTAACCTTTAGCTATAGCACCATAGCAGTAGCGCGGTACCCCGCGCTACTGCTAGGACAAAAACCAGCGCTACTGCTTGGCTTTTCCCTAGTAGTGTCTTATTTTAAGTGTCGCCTACATCAAAACTAGAAAGCACAATTCATAACAGTATGATACCGCAATAGCAACTTCATAGTTTTCAGACAACATGGGGTACATAGGGTGCTAACTTAACAATTCAGAATTCTAGGCAGAATGAAATCACTTCAAACATGAAGTGCAGAGTTGTTAACAGCATCATATAGCGTTGCCAAGCCGTGGACACGGAAGGTGGGTGACTACTTCGCGGTGTCGACTTGTGTAATTGGACCAGGCTCTACAAACCCCTCGGGTCTCCTGTAACAATGCAAGTCAACCATCTGAAATGATTTGTATTCTTCGAACATCTTCCCAACTGTGCTATCATTCATTAGTTCAGACATCATCATCCTGTCATGTGTGTTCAACCTGAACCACGCACTTGAGCTGAAGCTCGTCCTGCACCTGGGGTTCATCATCAACATCTTGTTACTTGACTTCAGCATCCTCTTGTAACTTGAGCTGGACTTATTCTTGCCACTTATGTTCCACTTGATGGTGTCACTTGACTTCACCCTGCTTCGATAGTAAATAAAATCATTTTAGCCAAACCCATGCTCCACCAACTTCTCCTTCAAATTATCACTAGTGATTGAGTCTTCCAGCCATGGCTCAAGTGCTAGTTCACAGAAAGATGCTTTATGCACAATGAACCTAACCATCCACAACAGACATTATCATCATTCTACTTTTACATTCAGAGCATGGACTCATACCTACAGATGAGGTTCACAATTCATCTCAACACACAAAACACTAGCCCTTGAGGCAGATCGGAAGAGGACCCTAACAGATATTCTAAAACATTAAAACCATGGACTCATACCTGCTCAGAGAGTTCATGATTCATCTCATCACACAATAAAAACTTGCCCTCGAGGCAGATCGGAGGGGGGACCGTCACCAACGATACTTGTAAAACGAGGAGTTGACGGCGACAGAGAGGACAAATACCTGCTTCATCGATGGAGATAGGAAAAAGCTCCTATGGCCACAGAGTTTGGCGACGTCCTTGATGCTAGGGAATGGTGACATCCTTCCTTGCTGGACTGGGATTGGTAGGGGAAGAAGCACAAGCGGACCAATTGGGAGGGGAAGAAGCTCGGGATGGCATAAATGGGGAGTTTTGTAGGCGAATGGGGATGGGTCGATGCATGGCAAACGTATTTAGAGAGACCAAACACGCCTATCAATCTGGCGAGGGGTTGAACGGGTAAGTTAGACGATGTGACTAGCGTGACACACCAAAGAGCCAGACTACTTTAGTAACGATGGCCTTACACAATTTATCAAATGGTTTGCCATGTGTCAAATAGGTCAGACACTCTGGCAAACAAGACGCGTCAGTCGGTCCGGTGGGTCAACAGGACTATGGAGGTATCCAGATAAAAAATCAAATGCTCCTGTATCATAAATATAAACGCCTAGAAAAAAAGCGTGTCAACGTTATAAAACGCATAACTGTACGCCGTAGCATGAAAAGAGGAAACGCGCCATCTCATCTGGCACGTCACACCGGCGCCACGCTGGCGGCGTGACCGACGACCATGGACCGTGGCCGGTCAAAGACGCATTTTTACGATGTTATATAGTGTAATTTATACGTCTGTTGGAAAGGCGCGAATGAAGGGGTCAAACGAAGAAATAAGTTTTTTCGGGGGTCAGTGTGTGACATAAGATACTCTAGGGGTCATTTAGTAAAAATAATACGGGTATGGCTGCCTGCTGGCATCAGGGGAGATAGTACTTCCTCCGTTTTTATTTAGTTCATATATTAGCTTTGGTCAAAGTCAAGCTTTACAAACTTTGATCAAGTTTATAAACAAAAATATTAAGGTATACAATAACAAATCAACACCAGTAGATTTATCGTTGAATGTACTTTTACGTCGTATAGATTTATTATGATAAATGTCTATATTATTTTCTACGAACTTGGTCAAACTTTACGAAGTTTGACTTCAGTCAACTCTAATATGCAGAGTAAATAAAAACGGAGGGAGTATATCATCTGCGCTAGAAACAAGCAAGAGGGAATCAATCGGTACTCGATGCATGCCATGTGACTGGTGGGAGAAAAAATTAGGGAAGGCAGGCCATGCTCCTCGAAGATAGCTTTGACTCTGCTCGCCAGCCTAGCTACTCTGCTCGGTGGGCAGACCTGCTGGAGAGATCTGGGCGGCGGCGATCGAGCTCAAGGACAAGACCCTCCTGTCGCCGGCCGGTGAGTCTCCCGTTCATCAATCCCTTGTGCTCCTCACGCCCCCCAGCGCAAATACATGCATGCTCACCTCTTTTATGCTCTCACTCCCTTCAGCTAGATCTCTGTCGGGCAGATGCTAGCTAGTGGTTGTGAAATACAGTGATTGCATCTTCGTCTTTACAACAAGAAAAAAAAGCAATATACTTTCTTGTTCTTGCTATCTCTGCATCTTCTCTGAAGGAGGTGAGGTGAGTGGAGGGGCTATCAGTCAATGGCCGAGTCGGCCGTTAATGCCGTGCTTGGAAACTTGAGCCATCTTGCGGTCCGGGAGAGCACATTCTTGTGTGCAGTCACCCTTGAAGTGGGGCTCTTGAGAGATGAGCTAAAGCGGCTGCAGGCCTACCTCAAAGACGCTGACAGCAAATGGAGGTCAGGAAATGTAAGAGTTGCTGTCTTGGTGAGCCAGATCAGAGATGTGGCGTATGAGGCTCAGAATGTCATCGAAGCTGCAGATTACATGGAGAAGAGAAACAGGCTAAAGAGGGGTTTCATGGGTGCCATCTCAAGGTATGCTCGTTTGCCGAGTGACTTGGTCACCCTTCATAGTGTCGGTGCGAAAATTCAGAGAGTAAAGAGGAAGCTTACTGATATTTTTGCAAGTGCGGCAAATTTGGAAATTCATTTGGGTGACACTTCTGTGGTTGAGGATGAGTTTCCAACGGATTTCGGTCATATGCACCAAAACTCTGATGATGATATTTTCATGGTTGGTTTTGAGGATGAGCATAAAGAAATAGTGGACAAATTAGTTGACAATGAGGAAATGCTTAGTGCTGTGTCCATAGTTGCCATGGGTGGAGCAGGGAAAACTACACTCGCAAGAAAAGTATACACTTCATCCAGAGTTAAAGAGCACTTCAACACAGTTGCTTGGGTGACTGTATCTCAAACATTCAAGGGCATTGAGTTACTAAAGGATATTATGAAACAAATAATAGAGGACAAAGATGGCTGTGGAGAAATTGATAAAATGGATGAGTACCAGGTGGGAAAGAAGATCCATGATCTTTTGTTGCAAAAAAGATACCTAGTAGTTCTCGATGATGTCTGGAAGCCAAACACATGGGAGCAATTAAACAGAACAGTTAAAGCCTTTCCAGATGCAACTAATGGCAGTAGAGTACTGTTAACTACACAAAAAGAGGATGTTGCAAATCATGTCCAGATGCCAACCCATGTTCATCATTTGAAGAAGTTGGATGAAACGAGGAGTTGGGAAATTTTTAGTAGCATATCTCTACCATCATATAAAAGGTCTGTTATAGATGATGTGAATGAGTTTGAAAAACTTGGAAGAAAGCTTGCAGAGAAATGTGATGGATTGCCACTTGCACTTGCAATATTGGGTGGTTATCTGGCGAAGAATCTAAATATAGAAGCATGGTCATATGTACTATTGGGGTGGGCGTCAATTGAGGATTCAAAGATGATGCGAGACATACTAGCTCGCAGTTACAAAGACCTATCAAGTCATTATCTAAGATCCTGTTTTCTCTATCTTGCTGCTTTTCCCGAGGATTTTGTAATATCCGTGTCAGATCTTATTGATTTATGGATAGCAGAAGGCCTTATTCCCCATATACCAAACCATAAACCAGAAGAAATAGCACGCATGTATGTAACCGAGTTGGCTCAAAGAAGTCTTGTCCAAGTTGTTGGCAGAAGCAAGGGACACAGATGGATTCAGAGAATACAGCTTCATGATATCTTACGTGAGTGGTGCATAGAAGAAGCAAGACAAGATGGTTTTCTTGATGTCAACACTGAAATTACAGGTCATGCTTCCCACCTTACCCATTTATATAACTCTACTTCATGTTTTTAATATCTCAGTTTTGTCATGATATGTCGCTTCTAGCTAATACATAGGTGCCCTCTCAAAAATATGCAGGCCAAGCTAGTGCATCAACTTCTAATACCCAGAAATTCTATCGCTCTTCCCTTCAAAACTCCAGTGATCTGTTTTTACAGACGCTTGATCTCCGAACTCTCTTTGGCTTTCAAATTTCATCGATACCCAAGATGAGTTTTCTGAGAGTTCTTCACATTGAAAGTTCAAGCTTAAGTGGTATATGTAGGGTTATCGATCTGTGCATTAACCTTAGATACCTTAGGTTGAGAAATTGTTCCCATTTGAAGCTCACTTCTTCAATAACAAAACTCATCTATCTTCAGACTATTGATCTGAGAGGCACAACCACAAAGTCATCCATGCCAAAATCCTTTTGGCATATCCCTACTCTAAGGCATGTTTACCTTAATGAAGAATTTTCGCCACCTGCAAGGAATGTGCGACCAAATGATTTCCAGACCTTATTCATAGAACTTTGCAGTAATCGCATGATTAAGTTCTTGGGCCAAATGACTAAACTAACAACCTTATCCTTGGTACGGACCCATGATTTTAAGGGCCTTTTGTGTATATTTGGAAGCATGCCTCACCTAGTTGATGTTTCCATCGGTAATTTCCAAGATTATGGGATGCATTTCTGTAGTACAATCATGAAAGAAGACCCGATGCCGATCCTGGAGAAGCTTCCATGTCTTGTGGTGTTGAAGCTAGAGGGCTATGTAGGTGAAACCATGTCCTGCTCTGCCCAAGGATTTCCTCGATTGCAAGAGTTAGAACTTAAACAGTTTTCTTGCACTGAGTGGAGCATGGAGGATGGAACAATGACAAAGCTCTCTTACCTGAAGTTTGTTATGTTTAACAAGATGAGCCACCTCCCAGAGGGGTTGTTACGCCTACCGTCCCTCAAGTGCCTAGACATGATCTATGTGCCCTCGATCTCTGGAGATGACAGCACACTGGTGACACTGCAACAGAAAGGGTGCCAGGTAGCACGACACCTCTTGCCATCCTTCAATTTTTGTTTGATTTTACTACTGCCATATTGTTTGTAATTACAGTTCTAGGATCAAGTCTATGTATTCACCCGAGCTATTCCTGTGTGTGCTTTTCCGCAGGTGGATATGCAGAAAACAGAACTAATTATCACTATTCCAAGTTTAGTGGTATCTTCGCCTTCTCATTATGCGAGAGGTACAAATATCTAAGTAGGATGAACCAATTGGTGTGCTAGTTTCCACACCTATCCTCCCTCAATGTATCTCATATTCTCATTCAATCAAGTATGTACTATGTGTTTGCCTGAACCCAGTGTAACAATAAGAATATGTAGCGCCGCCTGAGTGCCTGACCAGCCAGTATGGTGGTTCAAGACAACGACGTAATCTGTACTGTTTCTCCATTATTTGGATTATTGTGATTTGGCAATCACGTGTAATAAATTTTGGTTGCTGAACTTTTATTGTTTTCAAAAGGAGGTTGGCCCCCTGACCTCTGTATTATTGTGATGTACACAGCCATGTTATAGTTGATGATGTGTTTGTCGTTCTCTTTTCCTTTTCATGGTGAGCACTAACGCTTGTAATGCTCCTGTAATATATACCAAGTTCTACACTCGGATATATCTCTGATGTTTTTCTCTTCTCTTTCCCTCATCTGTTTTACTTGCTACCTGGCAAACTTGTAGAGCAGGACCCAAAGCTGCAGCAGAAAATATCCACGTCTCCACCAACTTCGCGGGAATGACCGAGCTGCATGTGATTAACTGAATCACGCATAGTGATTTCCAACAGTTAAAGCAGCTCCATGACAGATAACTATTTTACTTGCAACACACTTGCTTAGTTATGGTACCAATATTCCTAATCTGAAGTTATTAGTCACCTTTCTACGGTGCAAAATTCAGAGTTCCACTACACATTCAGAAATGCCGTGATGCTAAAACCCCGTCTCAAGAAAGATCTACATATGAATATGATGATGCAAGACTGAATCAGCACAACTTTTATACAGCACGAATTTTCAAAGTTTTGACTGACATATCAGAATACCGAGAACACCATATTTGCTGAAGGTCATGTCAGTACAAGAGTTACAGGGCGAATTCTTGCCCAATGACAGCATCAGGGTCACAACCAGAAATCACAAACAACACTAGCTCGTCTAGTAACTTCTTGGGAATCTATGCTAAGCGTGTTAGAATCAGTTGTATAGGGATAGGATTCTAGTTTGAATTATAATCTGTTTCTATCCCTTCTTCTGTTATCTCTTCTGTAAACGATGTGATCGATCCCTCCAAGTCTCGGACGATCTCATCTAACTTGTAAGCTACGGCAAACCCCCAATATATACACACGCGGCCCAGACGAAGGGTTCTACGCTTCCTCATAATCTTTCATGGTAACAGAGCCTCTTCCTCTAAGATCGGAACGAGATCGCATCTAGCTACCTACCGGCGACCGAGCTATGTCGACCACCACCTCCGCTGCCCCGATGTCCAGTACCACGGGAGCGCTCACCATCGCCTCGTCCTCCACCTTCGCTCCATCCTCCACCTCCAACAGCTCTTTCCTCGGATCGCCGCCCCAAGAGAAGCTCACGCGGGGAAACTTCCTGCTCTGGAAGGCCATCGTTTTGCCCCAGATCAAGGGCGCGCAGATGGAGCACCATCTCGACGCGACGAGCCCGGAACCGCCGGCCACCCTCACCATCACCAAGGACGGCAAGGAAGAACAGGTTGTAAACTTTGCACGCTCCCTATGGTTCGCACAGCAGCAACAACTCCAAGGCTACTTGATGGGCTCCCTCTCCCGCGACATCCTTGCGCAGGTCGCCACGCTTCAGACACCGGCACAAGTATGGAGCGCCATCCACGCCATGTTCGCTGCCCAGAGTCAAGCTCAAGCTATCAATACCCGCATCGAGCTGACCAACCTGCAAAAAGGTAATATGACTATGGCTGAATACCTTGGAAAGATCAAAAGCCTCACTGATGAGGTTGCCTGCACCGCGGCTGCGCTCTCTGATCCGGAGATCGTATCCAAGATTCTTGCCGGGGCTGGACATGGAATATAATCCGGTTGTCTTGGCTTTGGCTCCTCGAGTTGAACCCATCACCGTTCAGGAACTCTACAGCCAGCTTCTTAGCTTTGATGCCCGTCTCAGCCTCCTCCACGGCACCAACATCCGGCAATCTTCTGCAAATTCTGTCTCTCGTGGCCGCGGCCGTGGGCGTGGTCACCAGGGGCAGCGCGGCGGAGGGCGTGGGCGCGGTGCCCAGCAGCAAGGCGATGGCGGCTACAACAACTACAACAACAGAACAGGGGGAGGCGGCTCCAACAACAACAACAACCGCCGCCCCTCGCCCTCCCGTTCGCGCCCTCGCTGCCAACTCTGCAAGAAGGCGGGCCACGAAGTCATGGACTGCTGGCACCGCTATGATGAAGATTTCATCCCTGACTCTCGTCTCGTTGCGGCGGCCATGCGTGAGCAAGGAGGAGAAGGAGTTTGGTATGTCGACTCCAGCGCAACGGACCACGTCACAAGCGAACTAGAGCAACTTGCTCTCCGTGAAAAATACCTCGGCAATGACCAAATTCACACCGCAAGCGGTGGAGGTATGGACATTACACACATTGGTCAAGCTTTTATTAATTCACCCTCTCTCAAACGTGATCTTGTCTTAAAAAACGTCCTTCATGTTCCACAAGCTGAAAAAAACCTTGCATCTATGTCTCGTTTAGCCACTGATAATAATGTCTTTTTTGAAACTCACCCTCGTTACTTTTTTATAAAGGATCGGGCAACGAGGGAACTCCTCCATCACGGTAGATGCATTGGAGGTCTCTACCCCATCACATCCGGAGCACTTAGTCGCAAGCGTCGTCGAGTCTACTCCATCATCAAGCCCTCCTTGGCAAGGTGGCATCAATGATTAGGACATCCGTCATCGATCATAGTCGAGCAAGTAGTCAATAAAGGCAATCTCTTATTATCAGATAGCCAAGTTAGTGAGTCTGTGTGTGAAGCTTGTCAATGTGCTAAGAGTCATCAACTCCCTTATCCCAAGTCAACTAGTGTGTCTCATGCTCCGTTAGAGCTTATTTTCAGTGATGTATAGGGTCATGCAAGAGATTCTTTTGGTAGGAAGAAATATTATGTCAGTTTCATCGATGACTACAGCAAGTTTACTTGGATTTATTTGCTTAAGTACAAATCTGAAGTTTTCTC